AAAGCCCACTACTGTAGCAGTTTTTAACCCAGATTAAGCTGCTTTTAACAATGCTTTCCATGAAATGTGTACATTATTTTGACCTCTAGATGGAGCTGAGCTAGAAGTAACCCAAGCTCCCAACAGAGGCGTTTTTGATGAATGACATACTGTGTCAGCAGAAACGGTATCAAATGCAGTTATATAGGTCATATAAGTATTAATACACAGCCACACTTTAGATTTAAAAGGTCAGCGGCCTGATTTGACTGGAACCCATTTGAAGGTATCGCACATCAGCTGTACATGTGCAACTCAAAGGACTTACTTAGCCGGATGCTCTGAAAAGTGTAGGGTCACACAGGATTACATCTCAGTTTGTGTAGATATGTGCTTGTGTATCTGACTGAAAATGTTTCTCATGTATCCTTTCAGATTGTACCAGTTGTCTAAGGCTGGTAAGCTGTGTGTCCCTGCCATGAATGTGAATGACTCAGTCACCAAGCAGAAATTTGACAACCTCTACTGCTGTCGTGAATCTATCCTGGATGGGTGAGGACAATCAGTAGAAGATAAATACTGTTTGCAGTCATGCTACTGTTTTTATATGTAAAATACTGGCTGTATTTGGAGCATGAAGATGCTTCAAGATGGTCACGATGTGTCATTTTATTGTTTCTGCCAGCTTGAAGAGGACCACGGATATAATGTTTGGAGGCAAACAAGTTGTTGTGTGTGGCTATGGAGAGGTGAACTATTCTTTGATTCGAAATTTATCTCACTTTTGATAGAATGGCTGGATTGTTGCGTGCAGCAGAGCTTTTTATCACACTGTTTTGTGGTCTATAGGTGGGAAAAGGCTGCTGCACTGCTCTTAAAGCTCTTGGAGCCATTGTGTGCATCACAGAGATTGACCCCATCTGTGCCCTGCAGGCATGGTGAGTCACTAACCATTAGCATTCAGCACCGCTCTACCACTAAATGTGCTCCCCTACTTTCTGTCTCTGTGTTGTTTCTTAGCTTCAGACAAAATGTTGTCATCATTTTTCATGAGCAGTTTTCTATCTGTCTTGGTTATCCTAACAAAGATCTGTACTGTTTCCATGCAGCATGGATGGTTTCCGAGTGGTCAAGCTGAGCGAAGTGATTCGGCAGATGGACGTGGTGATAACTTGCACTGGTACTGTGCCCCATGCAGTGATAATCTATTACTTCTGCTTTGATAATCACCATGTTTCCAGCATACAAATGCATGTAAATGTTCCAGTCGAGGGAGAAGATGAGGCTTTTTATCAAAATGTTTAAATGCTTTTGGGGTCTCTGTGTGTTAGATAGCAGCGATTCCAATACCAATTTACATGTAGCCGTAAATTAGCTGTTATTGCAAAAACTGTTTTTTTTAGATTCAACACTCTGCAATGACTCTCACTTCAGTGACAACACATAGCTGTTGTTTTTCTCTAAATAAAGGCAACAAGAATGTTGTTACCAGAGAACAGCTTGACCGAATGAAGAACGGCTGCATCGTCTGCAATATGGGACATTCCAACACTGAGATTGATGTGGTAAATATTCAGCATTTTACCAATTATTGTTATACTTTTAAAAACAGATTCCCAATACAATAGATTTAAATTGTTCTATCTTGACTCTGATGCAGCCGCCTCTCGATCTGTAGTCATCACTCTGTGGTCTCCCACAATGTCCCACCCACAGGACTTTCTGGTTTGTTAAATGTCAGGAGGAACAACCTGTAAACACTGAAGGATAATGTTTGACTTTTTAACGTTTAATTAAACACATGTGCAACATATATATGCAAATGTATTCCAACAAAGTTTTGTGTTGTAATTATTAAATATTTACTTCAGATTTAAACCTCAGATGTATATTGGTCCAAATGTTTGTCGATCTCATTGACAGCTATCAGTATTTGCCCTGAAAACCCCATATTGGCTGACCCCTAAAAGATGTTCATTTGCTCAATATGTGTACAAATACAGGCACTCAATGGAATTTAAAACACTGAAAAGTACTGTTGCACAAAATAATCCTGTTCTTTGTGGTGTCTAAGATCATAAATACTCCTGTAGACTTTACAAAAATGGCTTTAAGTTCCATATTTAGAAATCCAGGAGGTCTGCCTCTAATGGAGCGACTTCTCTTATCTCCCCCGCCCCCTCTCTTTAGCAAAACATTTCTACTCAATTGGAATCTATTTAAGGGAAGAGAACACATGATTCATTTCCATGAAATGTGCTGCAGCTGGACAGGCCTGTTTTATTCGCACCTTAAAGTGCATTTATGTGCCGCTGGTCTTTGTTTGAACACTCTTGATGTTCATATGTTCACATGGAACACCCACGTGGACATATTAGCACATCAATGACACTCTTGTTGTATACAATTATTCCTCTCATCTTTTACCTGTATTTCCCTCCTATGCCCGCAGGCGAGTCTGCGCAGCCCAGAGCTGACCTGGGAGAGGGTTCGCTCTCAGGTTGACCACATCATCTGGCCCGATGGAAAGAGGGTTGTCCTGCTGGCAGAGGTAATGTCCCTTCACAGTACTATATCCACACAAAACTTTAAAGTCTCCAAAGTATCACACGATTGGCTTGTGACGCCACGCTTAAACCAGCACAAAACATGACGTGTATGTGTGTGGAATCAGTTTCTACAGTGTGTTTCATACATGCATTCTGTTATTTCTTAGGGTCGCCTCTTGAATCTGAGCTGCTCCACTGTGCCTACGTTTGTGTTGTCTATCACTGCTACTACTCAGGTTGGTGGTTTTTCTTTCTACTGATCCCTTCAGGGAAAGATCAGAACAGATGCTTTTACTTTTGGGGCAGCTGGAGGACAGTTTTGCTTCTCACTGTTCTTTAAAGCTGTCTGTAGGAACATGTGATTCCAGGGGCACCGCTTATGAGACTGGTTTGTGGTTTGTGTTGTGTGTAGGCTCTGGCCCTGATTGAGCTGTTCAATGCTCCAGAAGGACGTTACAAACAGGATGTGTATCTCCTGCCCAAGAAAATGGGTAAGAGTCGACTTTGTACACCTTAATCAGTTTGTACTAGTTCATGTAAAGCTGCTCATTGTTGCCACCTCATGGCTTCAGCTAAAAATTGCATCATCAGGGGACCCAAGAATGACATGCACTTTATCCAGACTGTGTGCATTTCAATCTGTCTCTTTCTTCTAGATGAATATGTGGCCAGTCTGCACCTACCAAACTTCGATGCCCACCTCACGGAGCTGTCTGACGAGCAGGCCAAGTACATGGGCCTCAACAAGAACGGCCCCTTCAAACCTAATTATTACAGGTAGGTGTTCACCAGCTTCCAGTCCCTTGATTTTCAACAAAGTGTCTTGATGTAATTAACTGTTCAGATTTACATCTTTACAATAACGCTGTGTTTTCTTCCAGATATTAACGCCTGATCTCGACGCACGGAGACCCTGGGATAAACAGAGATATCTATTTTATTTTCTAAATTGCTACAAAAAGGAGGAATTATTTTACTTATGCTGAATGTAATTTATTAATAGCACTTCAGAGGTAGGGTTAACCATTAAAAATGAGAGTAAGATGTAGGAAAACATAATGTATAACCAAGTTAACATTTTACACGTCTTGTCATGTGTTTAAAGAAAAGCCTACTTGCATGCTTTGATGTGTATGTACGTATTTAGTTAGCCGCTGCTTATGTTACTAGATCACATAGTCGTTGATTTGTTTGTTTACCCGAATTACGCACAGTGCCAAATGATGGCCGCAAGAATGAAACACAGAAGATACCATTTATGTTTTGTCTGTCAGTGACATCAAGATTTTACGAGTACATTCCACGAGCCGGAGTTTAGGCTGAGCCAAAACAAACTCTGTATTACAGTGTACATTCTTTTAGGAAGGTTTTCTATGCTTTAAATGATCTCGCTGAATGGTATCTGCATACATGCCCTAAAAGGCAACATCCAGTCATCTTTTTTTATTACATCAGAGTCCAGTGAAATATAGCGCTTGTTAAGTAAACGGCTTGATCGAGTATTGTTTATTTTAGGAATTTTTAATAGCCTGTGAATGTTTTAGCACATTTTAAATTCCTGCCCTGTGGAGTTTCGGTCAACACTCAGAGCTTTTCCTAAATAAAGCAAAGCAGAGCTATGTTATTGTGCTAACAGCAGATTAAGATGTTCTATTAAGGCTCAGTATACAGTATGATAAAGATAACAGGCAGGATGTTTTAAAAGCTAGTTGGAGAGGTTAAGGAAAAGCATTTCTTTGCTTACTTAGATTCCAGCTGAGGTGCGTCTCCCTCAAGAGTTGTTTGACGGGATGTTGCCTTTAAGGCCATGATATGAATGTGCCTTTTAAATCATTTACAACAAGTAAATATCAGCTCTGACTGCAATTAAATCAATCATTTCTTTTTGTAAAACCACATTAATTAGTGGTACATTTACTGTCTTCCTTCCACTGCTTCTGGTTGTAATTGTAACTAATGTATGAGCTATATGTTGAGAAAATATACCACCAAAAGTAATATCTCATGTGATCAAGATGACATAAGTGTATACTATGTATGTAAATGAATGCATTAAATTAGCAATAAAGCAAGTCTTTTTAACAGAGGAAAGCAACTTTAAACAAAGTGTGTTTATACAAAGAAAAATAACACCAAGGAACAATCTAGAGAGATCTTCATACGTCACTGGTTTGGTAGTTCTATTTGTTCCATTATTTCGGTGACATTCAGAGCTGCTACATACCTGCCTGAATGTGTCTTACTGCTACATTCTCCACATTCAGTTCCTTTACAGTCAGCCCTGCTGGCTGAGCCTCAGACTTCTGTCCCGCTCTGGAATATTCACCGACCGTCTTGCACCAAGCCAGCTGCATGAGTTTCTTTCTAATATTAACAACTCAGTCACTGAGCTTGGAGGAGGAGGAGGGGCGAGGAGCTTTCTGGAACCCTGGTTGCATGTATATAAGCAACAGGCCTGACAGAGTCCAGGCATGAGTTTCAAAGGAAACACACAAAGGCAACAGCCGACACGAAGGAAACTACTCCGGGACATCCTTCTACACTTCAGAGCAACAGAGAGTTTATCACTGAATGTAAGTAATAACAATTATTTGATTTTAGATGGTTAAAAGTTTAGAACGGAAGCATCAGTACAGACTCCTTAATGCTGTAACTGGGAAGATGTGTCCTGAGGCTCTGTTTTAATGGTTTGTTCTCTAAAAGATGACATTAAAACTTAACAGCACTGATGCATTAATTCTGCTTTTTATTATCTTTATTAATGAATGAAGGTAGAAAATGTCTTTAAAATCATTTAAGCTTGTGGTTTTAGTCATTTCCATCACAGAAATGTTTTAATTAAGGGATACATAAATTAGAGGCAGTGAAGTGAAGTGAGGCTATTATATTCACTGGAGCCCTCACCAGCATGTAGCTAGCTTCATACAGCCAATATTTCCTTAATTTTAACTGTACCTGTAAGATACAGCTCTGACAATTAGATGGATCAAGCATGCAGACGGTTCATCAGCATTATTTCTATCAATAATTTTGATTTCAGCAGCAGTTGTTTCAAAATGCAATATTTCCTCAATCTGTTTAGAAACTTCAAAGCAACAAACAAGATGTCCTCAGCTAAGGGAGTATCCATTGGCATCGATCTGGGCACCACCTATTCCTGCGTTGGGGTTTTCCAGCATGGCAAAGTGGAGATAATCGCCAACGACCAGGGCAACAGGACCACTCCCAGCTATGTGGCCTTCACAGACACAGAGCGGCTCATTGGAGACGCCGCCAAGAACCAAGTCGCCATGAACCCAACCAACACAGTCTTTGACGCCAAACGGCTCATCGGAAGAAACTTCAACGACCCGGTTGTCCAGTCCGACATGAAACTCTGGCCTTTCAAGGTGATCAGTGACAATGGAAAGCCCAAAGTCCAGGTGGACTATAAGGGGGAGACCAAGGCGTTCTATCCTGAGGAGGTTTCCTCCATGGTCCTGGTTAAGATGAAAGAGATAGCTGAGGCCTACCTGGGACAGAGGGTGTCGAACGCAGTCATCACAGTGCCGGCTTACTTCAATGATTCACAAAGACAAGCCACCAAGGATGCCGGGGTGATCTCTGGACTAAATGTTCTGAGGATCATCAATGAGCCCACAGCAGCAGCCATTGCCTATGGCCTGGATAAAGGTAAAAGAGGAGAGCGCAACGTGCTCATCTTTGATCTCGGTGGCGGCACCTTTGACGTGTCCATCCTGACCATCGAGGACGGCATCTTTGAGGTGAAAGCCACCGCAGGAGACACACACCTTGGTGGGGAGGACTTTGACAACCGCATGGTCAACCACTTCGTAGAGGAATTTAAAAGAAAACACAAGAAGGACATCAGCCATAATAAGAGAGCGGTGAGGAGACTGCGCACAGCTTGTGAGAGAGCAAAGAGGACCTTGTCATCCAGCACACAGGCCAACATCGAGATCGACTCTCTGTTTGAGGGAATTGACTTTTACACTTCAATCACAAGGGCACGGTTTGAGGAGCTCAATTCGGAGCTCTTCAGGGGAACACTGGAGCCAGTTGAGAAGGCCCTGCAAGATGCCAAACTGGACAAGTCCAAGGTCCATGAAATTGTCCTGGTCGGTGGCTCCACCAGAATTCCCAAAATCCAGAAACTCTTACAGGACTTTTTCAATGGCAGAGACCTGAACAAGAGCATCAACCCAGATGAAGCCGTGGCTTACGGAGCAGCAGTCCAGGCTGCTATCCTCATGGGCGACACTTCAGAGAACGTCCAGGATCTGCTGCTGCTGGACGTGGCTCCTCTGTCTCTGGGCATCGAAACTGCAGGTGGAGTTATGACGCCTTTAATCAAGCGAAACACCACAATCCCCTCCAAGCAGACCCAGATTTTCTCCACCTACTCAGACAACCAGCCAGGTGTGCTGATCCAGGTGTACGAAGGTGAGAGAGCCATGACCAAAGACAACAACCTACTGGGCAAGTTTGAGCTCACAGGTATCCCTCCTGCTCCCAGAGGTGTGCCACAGGTGGAGGTAACGTTCGACATCGACGCCAATGGCATTCTGAACGTGTCCGCCGTCGACAAAAGCACCGGCAAAGAAAACAAGATCACCATCACCAATGACAAGGGCCGTCTGAGCAAGGAGGAGATTGAGCGAATGGTACAGGATGCTGAAAAGTACAAAGCTGAGGATGACGTGCAGAGAGACAAGATCGCAGCAAAGAACTCGCTGGAGTCGTACGCCTACCACATGAAGAGCAGCGTTGAGGACGACAACATGAAAGGAAAGATTAGCGAGGAGGACAAAAAGATGGTCATCGACAAGTGCAACCAGATGATTTCATGGCTGGAGAACAACCAGCTGGCAGAGAAGGACGAGTACGAGCATCAGCAGAAGGAACTAGAGAAAGTGTGCAAGCCGATTGTGACAAAGTTGTACCAGGGAACGGCACCGTCGGGAAGCTGCGGCAGTGAAGCAGGAGGCAACTCCCAGGGTCCCACCATCGAGGAAGTGGACTAAAACCATGGACTTCAACAGAACAAGACTTATCACAGTTGTTTAAAAATGATGTGACTTTACAGATTTTTTGACTTTCTATAATAAACAGACTCTAAAACACAATACAGCTCTCTTTCATTTGTCATCATAATGCACAACATACAATTTATTTAAAAAACTAAATAAATTGACAACATTTTCACAGCATATGTTGGCCCACTGAGGCAAAGGTTTACAATAGAAACGTGAGCAGAAGTGACTTTTTTCTTTTTCTCTGTCTAAAAAGTCAGCATCCCTGACTGTTATTTACTGATACGATCATCTAGAGAATCTGGGCAGGGAATTGCTGAAGGGAATCAATTAATATGTTTACTAAAGATGCTCGACTGGCATCTTCACCACCTGTATGGTATATAATTTTCAGGTAATTGCACTTGTATGATAATTTTTACTTACACATCCCTGCATTTCAAGTTGTCATAACACAGATAAGACTGTTATCAAGGTAAGGTGCTCATCTCAAAATGTAGCTGCAGCTGAACAAGACCAACATAGCGGTAAGTTGTATTTCAGTCAAGATTTTGAACACATCCACAGAGTTTTAAATAGTGAGACGATAACCTGTAAACATACTTTTATATGTGATGTCAGTGTAGATCCCTTCATGTAATATTTTATTGAATTTTGTACATTCTATTAAACATAGGGGAATAAGTATTTGGTGTCTTAACACATGGCATCTCTATAACAGAACCGATGTCATGAAACAACCAAGTATGCACTATGTTTAAAATGATGATGGCCAGATGTAGAGTGGAGTCAAAGACAGACACTCATCTAGGACATCACAAGTGACAACATTTCTTAGATGACAAATGTTGGCATTGTGGACACTATAGCATCTGTCTTTGACTCTAACTGATGTACCAGCATCCAGCTTTAGTCATCTATTGCCATTTGAACAAAGTTGCATTTTGACCCTATTCAGGACTTTTGGACCCCAGGCCATTTGGTTTAGGTGACAGTTCTTGTTTTAGTTTTTTTTTTTTTTTTTTGAAGATTGTATTTTTTTAATATAAAAAGAGGGACATTTGTCATGCATTTGGAACCAAAAATACATCAACTTATCAGAAAATATATTCAACATAGTATAAACATCTATAATGAATACGAACAAAGATTTTGCTATTCTTTCTTGGGGTCCAATGGACCCCGAAAGACCTTCTACATATGGCAACATGAAAGTCCTGAATAGGGTTAAGATGGTATTTTATAAACACGGGTCACCTTATTTGATCATTGACCCTTAAAGAAACACCTGACCAGACTGTGGATCAACATAATGCTAAAGAATCCATCACCCGTTGAATGGCTCAAGAACTTTTGTGCACAACTGGCTAAACTGAAACCTTTTCTAAACATAACATTTTTAACCTTGTCTCTGAGTCAGAGAGGGCGACTATTTGTATGCTGCGTTTACATTTGTAAAATTGTCCAATGCTCCACCACTACTTGTAAATATCCTCATGTGCTATTTCTCAACCACTGACCAGCTCATATATTTGTGCTCATGTAAACATGTTGTTCACTGAAGTATCCACTGGGTGGCAACCTCGGGTTATCAGTTGTGTAAACACACCTAAGGCCTAACAGCTACCTGTTGGACCAGACTGTTCAGTGTCTTAGTAATATTAGTCATATATACTGCTTGATGCTCTTGGCTAAACGCACATCTAACCTCTGTTGGAACTGAACATTAATCCTTGAATACAGTCTGAGTAAATGCCCTCATTTAAGTAGTTTGTTGGCAGTTTCTGAACAACAGTGAATATTATACTAACATATCCAACCTAAAATAGCCCAGTGCAGGAATACAAAGTAAACTATTGTTTACAGAAATGCTTAAATGATGCTGAGAGCTGTTTGCACCTGTTACCACTGGTCTCCAACCTGACTTCTTACATTTGAAGCTGTGAGTCGTTGATGCCACTGTGCAGGTCGGTGTGTTCCTGAGATGCATCAGACCTGAATATGAACAATCAACCCAACACAAAGTGAACACGCCTAATTAAACAGAGTTATTGCTCTCATACCCTCTGCCTTCTCTCGCACACCTCATCAACCCATCCTCTCTCTCTAATTAGAGGGAGTGGTTCAATCATGCGCCAGCCTTCAGCACCCAAAGAGTTAAACTGCCGAGCCTGTTGTTGAACGCACCATCCAACCGGGCTGTGTCGCTAGGGGAAGATGCAGGCTACTTGTGGAGAAGCAACAGATCCCCCCGCTGGAAAACAACCCCACATCTGGCACGCGAACTGAGCGTTTTCAACAGGAAGACATTAGTGAAATCTGTCACTGCTTGACTGAATGCGCTGCACCGCTGGACCGTTCTCTGGTTTCCTCTTCATGAGTGGAGAAGGGAAAAGTTGTGAGGAATAGTTGTGGATTTTGGCGCTGCAGAATTTGGATAAGATTTGTGGAAAAGGGGAGCGAGGAGTGTCACATTACTTCTCTGATCGACGCGTAAAACTGTGCGTAAAAAGACAATATTCTGCATTTTAGTGGCAACAACCTCGTCTTCATGGACTGGAATTAAGTGCAACATCTGCACGCATCTGTTTAAGTCACCTTGTGTAATCTATTCGACGAAAACACCTCCATCCAGTCTGACCTCCTGCGTTTTGTCGCGACACCGGACTGAGTTGTTACAGGTGGTTTTCACTGAGCGCTTCACTTTGGCGCCGTCTGGACCTTTATTGTTCGGATAAATGAGCCACACAGGTCATTCTATACGGACTTGGGTCTGAAATGAGGGCGCACTTTGCGTTCATTTTTTGATTTTTTTGTACAACAGTTTGCAAGAAAGGGGCGTAAAGCCACAAGGTCTGCTTAAATGATAAGCTCGGTGTGTGTTTCGTCTTACCGAGGGCGAAAGTCAGGCAACAAACCTCCGTCCAAATCATGTCTGAAGGAGGAGATGTCCAGAGGGGAAGAGTCGGACAAAATTATCATCAACGTGGGCGGCACTCGACATGAAACCTACAAGAGCACCCTGAGGACCCTGCCGGGGACGCGCCTGGCGTGGCTGGCGGACCCGGACCCGCAGGTCAGCTCCGACTCGGACGCTGCGCCCCCGAGCGCCACAGAGTTCTTCTTCGACAGACACCCGGGCATCTTCGCCTACGTGCTCAACTATTACCGGACCGGCAAGCTGCACTGCCCGGCCGATGTCTGCGGGCCGCTCTTCGAGGAGGAGCTGGCGTTTTGGGGGATAGACGAGACCGACGTGGAGCCGTGCTGCTGGATGACCTACCGGCAGCACCGGGACGCGGAGGAGGCCTTGGAGATATTTGAGCCGCCGGAGCCGGAGGACACCGACGACGACAGAGAGATGCCGAGACGGTTCGGCATCGAGGACTGTCCTGACAGGTCAAGGGGCTGCTGCGAAGTTTGGCAACCGAAGGTGTGGGCCCTGTTCGACGACCCCTACTCGTCTAAAGCGGCCAGGGTGAGTTCAGCAGCTGTTTTTTGCTCCGGGCCCTTTAATGGCCACATGTCAGAGTGATGCCATAAAAATCTGCAGGAGATTTTCCCTGTAGGAAAAAAAAAGGCGCACGTTGTCCAAATCAACAGGTGTCTCCAACACATTCAGCCAATCAGGCTGCAAATGCGCACAAATCAAGGAACTGTGAGTTTGTATTTGCAGCTTTTAAGTCAGTCTTTTTATCATTTATCCTCCACAATAAGGATTCCTCAGTGCCAGATGAGTGAATATCCGATTTCATTGCCACTTACTTTATTAATCTCAGTATCAGAGTCTTTCCGGCTTAATCTTATCACTGTTGGACTCAATAAAACAATTACAACAGTCTGTCAGTCATGTAGGTTTCAGTTTACTCCTAGCTGCACTGATTCTGTGTCCATTAAAGCAGTATTCCCCTGCAGTTAGTGTAGAAACCTTATTTAAATCAGAGTTATTTTAAATGTCACATGTCTATCTGCATGCTGCATGGCTCTGACTTTAAATTTCAAGTGAGCACGGCGTCTCTTTAGAGTGTGAAACAGGTTTTACAAAGTCTTTTGAGAAGCTTCCCTGAGGATTGATGTGGTTCTTTGAATGGAAAGAGTGTATTTTTAATGACACTTCTGGCCACAGTTCATATCTTCACATCTGTCTCCGGGAGTCAGAGCGGCATTAAACATTTAAACATTTTTGAACATCAGGTCAAAAGGAACGTTTTTACAAGTCTGACAGCTTCATGATTACTGGCCATCATTTATTTTCTGGTGTTTATCTCAGTCGAAGCAGACAGTTAGCGGCTTGTCGTGTGTGACTGTTACACAGAGCCAATAAAAACTAATGACTGCTGAGTAATGTGGGACAACTGGTGAAACATTAAGATGAATTGAATTGGAAATCACAGCACCAAACCAGGCAGACAACCATCAAATGTGATATATATGGACATACAGTGAAATTAATGGGATTTCTTTGTGGAAGAGCACAGTTTGAACATATTACAATTAAAAGACACGACTAAAAGTATGTGGACAACCCTGAGCTTCAACTTCATCCAACCAGCTATTTGCCTTCCAGCACCAGTGTCTGACCTTTCTAAAGATCTTGTCCGCAAAATCCCTGCAGCCACTGTTTTCCATGTTGTACTTCAAATTTCCACCACGCTACACACAGCAAAATATGGTTGTTGTACATTTATTGGACAGCTTTAGTTACTTTTTTAGAAACATTCAGAATGTAAAAAGTTCACGTCATTCACATGTGGCTTTGCACTCGTCATACAAAGTTTTGTCTTTCTGATTTAAACGATTAAGCAAATTGGTCATGTTGCTTCATGTGGTGACAACAACTGCAGAAAAACTCCTTCTTTCTGCAGCAAACATAATGTTGCATGTTCTTTCTGCAACCAAATCTTCCTGCCAGTGTTTCTCTCCTGGTTTTCGCTCATTTTGCTGTGCACATGTGCAGCAGTCGACAAGCTCTGTATCTAAGAACCTTCAACTATGTTACATCAGACCTCTTTTTTGTAGATTAATTGTGGCAAATGAGAATCATGCGAGGTTTTCTTGTTGCATGAAGCAGCAAAAAAAGTTGCAGTTGTAGTTAACCTGCCTCACCTCACATACGCACTTCTCAGTGTTGATGCTGAAACGATATATTGTCCAACCATATTTTAACCCTGTTCAGGAGTTTTGGGGTCTTTTGGACCCCAGGTCATTTGGTTTAGGTGACAGTTTTTTTTTATTTTTAATATAAAAAGAGGGACATTTGTCATGCATTTGGACCCAAAAATATGTCAACTTATCAGAAAATGTATTTAACATTGTATAAAAGTCTATAATGAATACCAGCAAATATTTTGCACATATCCACATATGGATATTTCAGAGTCTATCCAATAGACCCCGAAAGACCTTCTACGTATGGCAACAGGAAAGTCCTGAGTAGGGTTAAACATTTGTTTTTGAGTCGTGACTGAAATGAAACACAGAAACTAGCCGCCTGGAAACGTCATTTTGCAAAATTGTCCAGATTGATCCCTGAAGCAGACCAGGACTTTGCTAAAACTTTGGTAGTTTTATGTGAGAATGCCGGATATGATGATGATAACTGGGTGCGTACATTGGCTTTGTATGCTAAAAACTAATCCCCAGACAGAAATGCTATCAGATACTAAAGTTTGGGATCAATCAGACCCCAGAGCGGTCCAACTACCTGTGAAGAAATTCCAACCAGAGGAATTCAAATAGTTGGGATTTAGGAAGGATAAAGAGGCGTAAAACTCCAATCACAGATTCAGAACATATGAAAATCTATTGAGTTCTCAATCACATTTATGAATATTTATCCAAAACAATAAGCTCTGTGATGTGCTACGCTCATAAATTTATGTTAAGCGCTGAGACTTTTTGTGTTTGAGGTCTCCAGAATGCATCTTACTCCGCTCATCTGTTTTGTTGTTAATAACTATAGAACACAGCACATTTATTCCTTTATCTCCGCAGGTAATTCCATTGTTTCCCCCTATAATGCGTTTTAAGGCTGTCTTTCTCTCTGCACAACCGAATTCCAATCAATCTGAATAACCCTTTTGTTTTTTTCACCCCAGCTTTCACTTAACTATATGTTATGAAATTGTAGCAAAATGCTGAAAATAGAGAAAATGCCGTTTTATGGCAGTCATACTGAGCTGGTGAAGTGTTCCCACACAGCCTGTTCAAGGTTTGCACTCAGAGGCCCTCAAAAGATGAGTGTTTGAAAGGCTGCAGCGGCGTACATCCGTGTAGAGTAAATCACACTGTATATTATTCAGCAGAATGGACTTTAACTGCACATGTAGGCAAGAGAAGAGAAAGAATCCACAACATTAGGAAACTCTGATTGCATTCGGGCCACTTTATGCAACGATCTACATCACGCCACGGCTTATGTTCCTGATATTGTTCTACTAACTCGATGCAAAACAATCAGATCTCAGATGGACAAGAGACGCCTTTTGTTTGGAGATAAAACAAATGTTGCTGTGTTGTAAATTAAAATTTAATTTGCTCTCATTGCTTTTCACGAGGGATATCATCCCACTGTGAGCATTTGAAAGTACGCGATGCCTAATGGCTCGGCAACAAAAGCAGCAGAGTGCTCATTGAAGCGAGTATCGAGTGTCACTAGCAGGAGTTGTCAGGCAAAGCGCCAGCAGCTTTCACCGGTTAAAAAGAAAAATACGTTCAGTTCAGAGACAGCGAGAGAGGCTCGTGCTCGCTCTAATTCCTGTTTGTTTGTGGAGCTGAATGGTCTATTCAGACACTCATCAGTGTTGCAGAAGTATAATGTTCTTGCCGCACGCCAGCCGCACTACAAATAGTGTTTATTTTAGCTTCTCGTCCAGGTGGCATTTGGAGGCTGTCGAACAGCCGACGTCTCTGAGTCACAGCTGCCACTGCGTCGGTGTCGTCTGAAGATGACCCTCGCTGTGGCTGCCAGTTAATCACGTCTGTCTCTCACCACCCAATATTTGTAAATGAATCAGTTAGGATTTGCGAAGTTCTGCGAAAACACCAGCGCGGACGTGAATCTTATTCGGAACGAGCGAAGGCAGAAACAATATTGACGCGCCTGTAATGTTCCTTTTGTCCATTTCCTTGCCAACCGGTTTGTGTACGTATGTTTACTCTGTGTGCGTCCTGAGAGCACGCTTTCTGAAAGGATGCACGAGTGCATTTTGAGGGACTCGCATTACCTTTATGGCCTTTTTATTTCAGAGAGCCGCTGAGCTCCTCTCAGGTAATGTGATTCCTGAGAGCCGGAGGGGAAGTTAATCTGTCCATTATTTGAGCCACATCCTCTCCAGGATCAACCGAGACGGGAGGCGCAGCTCTGTTAAAGTCAGCATATGAAGCCTCTGTTCTGACGCTGACGTGACCGAAGACATGACAGGAGCATGTGGAGCTGAGAGAGAGTGCAGCAGCAGAACGTACAATAACAGAAGGAATCAGATCAAAAAGGATTCTTTACCCCAACACGTTAGATTTAAAATAAAATGATGTGGAGGTGTTTCCATTCATGTTAGATGAACATTGTATTAACTAGGGCTGAATGATTTAGGGGGAAATAACCAATTCTGATTTACGATATCATTTTCTAAAGTCAGGCTTCAGTTTTTACTCACCGTGGGCTCATTTAAAGTCCTTCACCTCTATTCAAACAGCACAACCCTGGATGGAAATAGTGAGAACTCATACATGTCCTCTGTGCAGTGTGACAAAGTTATGATTACATAATTTAGAAAAAGACATAATCTTTAAGTTTATTTCTTTGAATATTCATTTTATAAAAACTTTCAAAACTGGAATCAATATTTCTCTCCGGGTTCATCCCACAGTTCACAAACATGCTGAGGTTAATTGGTGATTCTAAATTGTCCGTAGGTGTGAATGTGAGTGTGCTTGGTTGTCTGTCTCTAAGTGTAGCCCTGTGATAGACTGGTGACCCTCGTGAGGATTAAGTGGTGTGTAGATAATTGTTAGACCCGGTTCTTTTGTTGGAACAGCTCCAAGAAATGGTCGAAGAAAAGTTCAGATCTCAGATTAAACAGGTTATTCAGGTCACATGGAAAGTTTTGCGGCGCTGGATTCAGAGAGATGGAGAGGAATCTCATGTCCAGCTGAACTGAGTTTTTCCAGTTTCAGGTTACAGATATCTTCTTGGTCTGGGACTGCCCCGATCATAGGTAAGACTTGTACGATGCTGAGTTTAATTGGCCAGTTACCAATGACGTGGACAGGCGTACCTGTGTGGATGTTGTTGGTACGGCGTATAGCTAAAGTAACAATCCTATCTGATAGGAAAGAGGAGTTTCTGCTGTCTCCAGGTGTGTGAACCAGTTCTCATCGGCCATATTGTCTTCAGGGACGTATACTGTGCTCAGTAGAAAAATACAAAACAGAACCATAGGCTCAGGGGAAAAATACAAATTCAGAATACATAGTAGC